CGACTCTACATGAGTAAACTCTCCAAAATTTATTTCAATTTTTTTTACTCTCCGCTGACTGATTCTACACCAAAGGATTCTCCAATCTTCAATAAAAACTAAAAATTTTTTATTCATTTTTTACCTCTTCAAACATCGACTCTACACGAGTAAACTCTCCAAAACCCATTTCAATTTTTTTTACTCTCCACTGACTGATTCTACATGAAAGGATTCTCCAATCATCAATAAAAACTTGAAGTTTTAGTTCCTCTTTTTATCACTCCATAAATCGACTTTACACGAGTAAACTCTCCAAAATTTAATTCATTTTTTTTTACTCTTCACTGACTGATTCTACACGAAAGGATTCTCCAATATTGAATAAAAACTTGAAGTTTTTTTTCCTCTTTTTAACACTCCATAAATCGACTCTACACGAGTAAACTCTCCAAAACCCATTTCAATTTTTTTTTACTCTCCACTAACTGATTCTACATCAAAGGATTTTCCAATCATCAATAAATACTTGAAGTTCTAGTTCCACTTTTTATCTTTCCATAAATCGACTCTACACGAGTAAACTCTCCAAAACCCATTTCAATTTTTTTTACTGTCCACTGACTGATTGTACACGAAAGGATTCTCCAATCTTGAATAAAACGAAAATTTTTTTATCCACTTTTTGCCTATCCACAAATCGACTCTACACCAGTAAACTCTCCAAAACCTATTTCAATTTTTTTTATCTCCACTGACTGATTGTACACGAAAGGATTCTCCAATCATAAATTAAAACTTACAGTTTCAGTTCCACTTTTTAACTCTTCATAAATCAACTCTTAACGAGTAAACTCTCCAAAACTTAATTCAATTTTTTTACTCACCACTGACTGATTGTACACGAAAGGATTCTCCAATCTTGAATAAAAACTTACAGTTTCAGTTCCACTTTTTATCTCTTCATAAATCAACTCTTAACGAGTAAACTCTCCAAAACCTATTTCAATTTTTTTTATCTCCACTGACTGATTGTACACGAAAGGATTCTCCAATCTTGAATAAAAACTTACAGTTTCAGTTCCACTTTTTATCTCATCATAAATCAACTCTTAACGAGTAAACTCTCCAAAACTTAATTCAATTTTTTTACTCTTCACTGACTGATTCTACACGGAAGGATTCTCCAATATTGAAAAAAAACGAAAATTTTTTGATCCATTTTTTATCTCTTCAAACATCGATTCTAGACGAATAAACTCTCCAAAACCTATTTCAATTTTTTTTATCTCCACTGACTGATTGTACACGAAAGGATTCTCCAATCATAAATTAAAACTTACAGTTTCAGTTCCACTTTTTAACTCTTCATAAATCAACTCTTAACGAGTAAACTCTCCAAAACTTAATTCAATTTTTTTACTCTCCACTGACTGATTCTACCCGAAAGGATTCTCCAATCTTGAATAAAAACGAAAATTTTTTATCCATTTTTTATTTCTTCAAACATCGATTCTAGACGAATAAACTCTGCAAAACCTATTTCAATTTTTTTTTATCTGCACTGACTGATTGTACACGAAAGGATTCTCCAATCTTGAATAAAAACTTTAAGTTTAAATTCCACTTTTATCTCTCCACAAATCGACTCTACATGAGTAAACTCTCCAAAACCCATTTCAATTTTTTTTTACTCTCCACTGACTGATTCTACATGAAAGGATTCTCCAATCATCAATAAAAACTTGAAGTTTTAGTTCCTCTCTTTATCACTCCATAAATCGATTTTACACGAGTAAACTCTCCAAAATTTAATTCATTTTTTTTTACTCTTCACTGACTGATTCTACACGAAAGGATTCTCCAATATTGAATAAAAACTTGAAGTTTTAGTTCCTCTTTTTAACACTCCATAAATCGACTCTACACGAGTAAACTCTCCAAAACCCATTTCAATTTTTTTTTACTCTCCCCTAACTGATTCTACATCAAAGGATTTTCCAATCATCAATAAAAACTTGAAGTTCTAGTTCCACTTTTTATCTCTCCATAAATCGACTCTACACGAGTAAACTCTCCAAAACCCATTTCAATTTTTTTACTCTCCACTGACTGATTGTACACGAAAGGATTCTTTAATCTTGAATAAAAACGAAAATTTTTTGATTTATTTTTTATCTCTTCAAACATCGACTCTACACGAGTAAACTCTCCAAAACCCATTTCAATTTTTTTTTACTCTCCACTGACTGATTCTGCATGAAAGGATTCTTTAATCTTGAATAAAAACGAAAATTTTTTGATTTATTTTTTATCTCTTCAAACATCGATTCTAGACGAATAAACTCTCCAAAACCTATTTCAATTTTTTTTTTATCTCCAGTGACTGATTGTACACGAAAGGATTCGCCAATCTTGAGAATTAAGTTTTGGAGAGCTTACTCGTATAGAGTCGATTTCTGGAGCGATAAAAAGAGGAACTAAAACTTTAAGATTTTATTAAAGATTAGCCAATCCTTACGCGTAGAATCAGTCAGTGGAGAGGAAAAAAACTTAAATTAGATTTTGGAGAGTTTATTCATGTACAATCGATGTTTGAAGAGATAAGAAAAGAATCAAAAAATTTTCGTTTTTATTCAAGATTGGAGAATCATTTCGGGTAGAATCAGTCAGTGGAGAGTAAAAAATATTGAAATGGGTTTTGGAGAGTTTACTCGTGTAGAGTCGATGTTTGAAGAGATAAAAAATGAATCAAAAATTTTCGTTTTTATTTAAAATTGGAGACTCCTTACGCGTAGAATCAGTCAGTGGAGAGTAAAAAACTTAAATTAGATTTTGGAGAGTTTATTCATGTAGAATCGATGTTTGAAGAGATAAGAAAAGGATCAAAAAATTTTCGTTTTTATTCAAGATTGGAGAATCATTTCGGGTAGAATCAGTCAGTGGAGAGTAAAAAATATTGAAATGGGTTTTGGAGAGTTTACTCGTGTAGAGTCGATGTTTGAAGAGATAAAAAATGAATCAAAAATTTTCGTTTTTATTTAAAATTGGAGACTCCTTACGCGTAGAATCAGTCAGTGGAGAGTAAAAAAACTTAAATTAGATTTTGGAGAGTTTATTCATGTAGAATCGATGTTTGAAGAGATAAGAAAAGGATCAAAAATTTTTCGTTTTTATTCAAGATTGGAGAATCATTTCGTGTAGAATCAGTCAGTGGAGAGTAAAAAATATTGAAATGGGTTTTGGAGAGTTTACTCGTGTAGAGTCGATGTTTTGAAGAGATAAAAAATGAATCAAAAAATTTTTGTTTTTATTTAAAATTGGAGACTCCTTTCGTGTAGAATAAGTCAGTGGAGAGTAAAAAAAATTGAAATAAATTTTGGAGAGTTTACTCGTGTAGAGTCGATGTTTGAAGAGATAAAAAATGGATCAAATAATTTTAGTTTTTATTCGAGATTGGAGAATCCTTTCATGTAGAATCAGTCAGCGGAGAGTAAAAAAATGGAATAAGTTTTGGAGAGTTTACTCATGTAGAGTCAATGTGTGGAGAGATAAGAAATTGAAATAAAATTTCAAATTTTTATTTAAGATCGAAGAATCCATTCGTGTAGAATCGGTCAGTAGAGAGTAAAAAAATTGTATCAAGCTTTGGAGAGTTTCTCTGCGTAGAGTCAGTTCGCGTAGGATTCTAACTTTGTAATTTATTTAGTTTTGTAGAGTTTTGCTGTGTAGAGTCAGTGTGTGAAGAATCAAATATCTAACCCCTTTTTACTTATTATATTATACAGTAACTCTGTGTAGAGTCCGTCAGGTGAGAGTAAGATTGCGTTTTGAGTATTCATTTGTATAATCTACCACGTAAAATCGGACTTTGAAGAATCGGCAAAGGTTGAACTGAGTCCCTGCCGATCGGATCAAGCAACTAGCGTTACTACATTTGATCTATTTGGACTACACTCACTTGCATATAATTTCTTTTGAACGACACTTAAGTTAAGTTCGTTTAATCGAACTATTCATTGTGGTTTTTAATGTAAAAATATTAGAAACAATTGTTTAAAAGATTATAAAGTTCATTTAAAGTAGGTGCTACGTTTGAAATTATCTTACATTCATACTGTAGTTCACTTACTCTTTTAAAACCTTGTCGAAAATATCCTTGCAGGACATGGATACATCACTGCAATACTGAAGCATTTTATGCTTGGCAGACTCATCTATTTCATTACTTAATTCCTTTAGACATGAATGAGATTTTGTGAGAGCCAGTATAGCTCCCCTCCTCTCAATTTGACCCTTACAACAAAACCGTTCTGTCGTTCTGTAGCAGCATCTTTTTTATTATTATTAAATTTAGACATAAATATTAATCGTTTATTAAATTTACAAAGAAATTGAACTGTTAATAGAACCCGAAATTAAAAAAAAAGAATATTATGATTTGAGTAAACTACACGTATTTTGCAAAAATAAACATTCATAATCAATTTTATATCATTACAAATAATAATTAATGTATTAAAATAAATCATAACCTGTACGTCTCAGTTTTGGTGCATCTAACGTCCCGTTTGTATTTATATCCATCGAGATGTAAAAACGGCATATGCTATGTAAGTAAATTTTAAAATTAAGTATGCTTATAAAAAAGGGCACAAGGTGGTAAAACTTAGACTGTGCACACTTTATAACATACAAATAAATACATACGTATTACGCATATGTAAACGTAAGTTAGAAAAGGTCAAAAACACACATAAAAAGAACCCAAAATTCAAAAATTTTATAGTTACAAATAAAATAACCGAACAGGAATATTCGACTTACTAGTCTAAAAATGAAAAAATCAAAAAACCATTTTTTATTCAGAGTTAGTAAGAATTTTAAAAGAAAAAGTACATGTAGCTAACACTTCACAAGCTGCCGAAAATAGAGTCTCATCGATTGCGATGGATATCTCCCTTTCTAGAGACAACAACAGTGTCAAATACAGATATAATTTTATTGAACAAACAGGGCTGTTGTGTTGAACAGTGTGATTGCAACATAATTTGAACATCTTTTAAATATGAAAAAATAGCTATCAATTTTTGGAATTAAATTTACTCATTGCTTTAGTTACAGTGTGAAAGGTTGATTTGAATCATTAACCAGATTATAAAATGGAATAGTAATGGGTTTGTGTAAAATTTAACTGTTCCTTTACAAAATTATACATGCAGCTAACACTTCTCAAGCTGCCGAAAATAAAGTCTCATCAGTTGCGATGGATATCTCACTTTCTAAAGACAGCAACAGTGACAAATACAGATATAATTTCATTGAACGAACAGGGCTGTTGTGCTGAACAGTGTGATTTTACAAGAAGTAGAACATGTTCTCCTTTTGAAAAATTAGCTAGCAATTTTCGTAATTAAATTTACTCGTTGCTTTAGTTACAGTGTGAAAGGTTGATTTGAATCATTATTCAGATTATAGAATTGAATAGTAAAGGTTTTGTGTACAGTTTAACTGTTCCTTTACGAAATTATACATGTAGCTAACACTTCACAAGCTGCCGAAAATAGAGTCTCATCGATTGCGTTGGATATCTCACTTTCTAAAGACAGCAACAGTGTCAAATACAGATATAATTTTATTGAACGAACAGGGCTGTTGTGTTGAACAGTGTGATTTTACAAGAATTAGAACATCTTCTCCTTTTGAAAAATTAGCTAGCAATATTCGTAATTAAATTGACTCGTTGCTTTTGTTACAGTGTGTAAGGTTGATTTGAATCATTATCCAGATTATAGAATGGAATAGTAATTGGTTTGTGTAGAGTTTAACTGTTCTTTTACGAAATTATAGATGTAGCTAACACTTCACAAGCTGCCGAAAATAGAGTCTCATCGCTTGCGATGGATATCTCACTTTCTAAAGACAGCAACAGTGTCAAATACAGATATAATTTTATTGAACGAACAAGGCTGTTGTGCTGAACAGTGTGATTTGAAAATAATTAGAACATGTTCTCCTTTTGAAAAATTACCCAGCAATTTTCGTAATTAAATTTACTCGTTGCTTTAGTTACAGTGTGAAAGGATGATTTGAATCATTAACCAGATTATAGAATTGAATAGTAAAGGTTTTGTGTACAGTTTAACTGTTCCTTTATGAAATTATACATGTAACTAACACTTCACAAGCTGCCGAAAATAGAGTCTCATCGATTGCGATGGATATCTCACTTTATAAAGACAGCAACAGTGTCAAATACAGATATAATTTCATTGAACGAAGAGGGCTGTTGTGTAGAACAGTGTGATTTGAAAATAATTAGAACATGTTCTCCTTTTGAAAAATTACCCAGCAATTTTCGTAATTAAATTTACTCGTTGCTTTAGTTACAGTGTGAAAGGATGATTTGAATCATTAACCAGATTATAGAATGGAATAGTAATTGGTTTGTGTAGAGTTTAACTGTTCTTTTACGAAATTATAGATGTAGCTGACACTTCACAAGCTGCCGAAAATAGAGTCTCATCGCTTGCGATGGATATCTCCCTTTCTAAAGACAGCAACAGTGTAAATACAGATATAATTTTATTGAACAAACAGGGCTGTTGTGTTGAACAGTGTGATTTCACAAGAATTAGAACATCTTCTCCTTTTGAAAAATTAGCTAGCAATATTCGTAATTAAATTGACTCGTTGCTTTTGTTACAGTGTGAAAGGTTGATTTGAATCATTATCCAGATTATAGAATGGAATAGTAATTGGTTTGTGTAGAGTTTAACTGTTCTTTTACGAAATTATAGATGTAGCTAACACTTCACAAGCTGCCGAAAATAGAGTCTCATCGCTTGCGATGGATATCTCCCTTTCTAAAGACAGCAACAGTGTAAATACAGATATAATTTCATTGAACGAACAGGGCTGTTGTGCTGAACAATGTGATTTTACAAGAAGTAGAACATGTTCTCCTTTTGAAAAATTAGCTAGCAATTTTCGTAATTAAATTTACTCGTTGCTTTAGTTACAGTGTGAATAAATGATTTGAATCATTAACCAGATTATAGAATGGAATAGTAATTGGTTTGTGTAGAGTTTAACTGTTCTTTTACGAAATTACAGATGTAGCTAACACTTCACAAGCTGCCGAAAATAGAGTCTCATCGGTTGCGATGGATATCTCACTTTCTAAAGACAGCAACAGTGTCAAATACAGATATAATTTCATTGAACGAACAGGGCTGTAGTGTTGAACAGTGTGATTTCACAAGAATTAGAACATCTTCTCCTTTTGAAAAATTAGCTAGCAATATTCGTAATTAAATTGACTCGTTGCTTTAGTTACAGTGTGAAAGGTTGATTTGAATCACTAACCAGTTTATAGAATTGAATAGTATAGGGTTTGTGTAGAGTTTAACTCTTCCTTTACGAAATTATAGATGTAGCTAACACTTCACAAGCTGCCGAAAATAGAGTCTCATCGGTTGCGATGGATATCTCACTTTCTAAAGACAGCAACAGTGTCAAATACAGATATAATTTTATTGAACGAACAGGGCTGTTGTGTTGAACAGTGTGATTTTACAAGAATTAGAACATCTTCTCCTTTTGAAAAATTAGCTAGCAATTTTCGTAATTAAATTTACTCGTTGCTTTAGTTACAGTGTAAAAGGTTGATTTGAATCACTAACCAGTTTATAGAATTGAATAGTAAAGGGTTTGTGTAGAGTTTAAATGTTCCTTTACGAAATTATACATGTAGCTAACACTTCACAAGCTGCCGAAAATAGAGTCTCTTCGATTGCGATGGATATCTCCCTTTCTAGAGACAACAACAGTGTCAAATACAGATATAATTTTATTGAACAAACAGGGCTGTTGTGTTGAACAGTGTGATTTCACAAGAATTAGAATATCTTCTCCTTTTGAAAAATTAGCTAGCAATATTCGTAATTAAATTGACTCGTTGCTTTTGTTACAGTGTGAAAGGTTGAATTGAATCATTATCCAGATTATAGAATGGAATAGTAATTGGTTTGTGTAGAGTTTAACTGTTCTTTTACGAAATTATAGATGTAGCTAACACTTCACAAGCTGCCGAAAATAGAGTCTCATCGCTTGCGATGGATATCTCCCTTTCTAAAGACAGCAACAGTGTAAATACAGATATAATTTCATTGAACGAACAGGGCTATTGTGCTGAACAATGTGATTTTACAAGAAGTAGAACATGTTCTCCTTTTGAAAAATTAGCTAGCAATTTTCGTAATTAAATTTACTCGTTGCTTTAGTTACAGTGTGAATGGATGATTTGAATCATTAACCAGATTATAGAATGGAATAGTAATTGGTTTGTGTAGAGTTTAACTGTTCTTTTACGAAATTACAGATGTAGCTAACACTTCACAAGCTGCCGAAAATAGAGTCTCATCGGTTGCGATGGATATCTCACTTTCTAAAGACAGCAACAGTGTCAAATACAGATATAATTTCATTGAACGAACAGGGCTGTAGTGTTGAACAGTGTGATTTTACAAGAATTAGAACATCTTCTCCTTTTGAAAAATTAGCTAGCAATATTCGTAATTAAATTGACTCGTTGCTTTAGTTACAGTGTGAAAGGTTGATTTGAATCACTAACCAGTTTATAGAATTGAATAGTATAAGGTTTGTGTAGAGTTTAACTGTTCCTTTACGAAATTATAGATGTAGCTAACACTTCACAAGCTGCCGAAAATAGAGTCTCATCGGTTGCGATGGATATCTCACTTTCTAAAGACAGCAACAGTGTCAAATACAGATATAATTTTATTGAACGAACAGGGCTGTTGTGTTGAACAGTGTGATTTTACAAGAATTAGAACATCTTCTCCTTTTGAAAAATTAGCTAGCAATTTTCGTAATTAAATTTACTCGTTGCTTTAGTTACAGTGTAAAAGGTTGATTTGAATCACTAACCAGTTTATAGAATTGAATAGTAAAGGGTTTGTGTAGAGTTTAAATGTTCCTTTACGAAATTATACATGTAGCTAACACTTCACAAGCTGCCGAAAATAGAGTCTCATCGATTGCGATGGATATCTCACTTTCTAAAGACAACAACAGTGTCAAATACAGATATAATTTTATTGAACAAACAGGGCTGTTGTGTTGAACAGTGTGATTTCACAAGAATTAGAACATCTTCTCCTTTTGAAAAATTAGCTAGCAATATTCGTAATTAAATTGACACGTTGCTTTTGTTACAGTGTGAAAGGTTGATTTGAATCATTATCCAGATTATAGAATGGAATAGTAATTGGTTTGTGTAGAGTTTAACTGTTCTTTTACGAAATTATAGATGTAGCTAACACTTCACAAGCTGCCGAAAATAGAGTCTCATCGCTTGCGATGGATATCTCCCTTTCTAAAGACAGCAACAGTGTAAATACAGATATAATTTCATTGAACGAACAGGGCTGTTTTGTTGAACAGTGTGATTTTACAAGAATTAGAACGTATTCTCCTTTTGAAAAATTAGCTAGCAATTTTCGTAATTAAATTTACTCGTTGCTTTAGGTACAGTGTGAAAGGTTGATTTGAATCATTAACCAGTTTATAGAATTGAATAGTAAAGGTTTTGTGTACAGTTTAACTGTTCCTTTACGAAATTATACATGTAGCTAACACTTCACAAGCTGCCGAAAATAGAGTCTCATCGATTGCGATGGATATCTCACTTTCTAAAGACAGCAACAGTGTCAAATACAGATATAATTTTATTGAACGAACAGGGCTGTTGTGTTGAAAAGAGTGATTTTACAAGAATTAGAACATCTTCTCCTTTTGAAAAATTAGCTAGCAATTTTCGTAATTAAATTTACTCGTTGCTTTAGTTACAGTGTAAAAGGTTGATTTGAATCACTAACCAGTTTATAGAATTGAATAGTAAAGGGTTTGTGTAGAGTTTAAATGTTCCTTTACGAAATTATACATGTAGCTAACACTTCACAAGCTGCCGAAAATAGAGTCTCATCGCTTGCGATGGATATCTCACTTTCTAAAGACAGCAACAGTGTCAAATACAGATATAATTTTATTGAACGAACAGGGCTGTTGTGTTGAAAAGTGTGATTTTACAAGAATTAGAACATCTTCTCCTTTTGAAAAATTAGCTAGCAATTTTCGTAATTAAATTTACTCGTTGCTTTAGTTACAGTGTAAAAGGTTGATTTGAATCACTAACCAGTTTATAGAATTGAATAGTAAAGGGTTTGTGTAGAGTTTAAATGTTCCTTTACGAAATTATACATGTAGCTAACACTTCACAAGCTGCCGAAAATAGAGTCTCTTCGATTGCGATGGATATCTCCCTTTCTAGAGACAACAACAGTGTCAAATACAGATATAATTTTATTGAACAAACAGGGCTGTTGTGTTGAACAGTGTGATTTCACAAGAATTAGAACATCTTCTCCTTTTGAAAAATTAGCTAGCAATATTCGTAATTAAATTGACTCGTTGCTTTTGTTACAGTGTGAAAGGTTGATTTGAATCATTATCCAGATTATAGAATGGAATAGTAATTGGTTTGTGTAGAGTTTAACTGTTCTTTTACGAAATTACAGATGTAGCTAACACTTCACAAGCTGCCGAAAATAGAGTCTCATCGATTGCGATGGATATCTCACTTTCTAAAGACAGCAACAGTGTCAAATACAGATATAATTTTATTGAACAAACAGGGCTGATGTGTTGAACAGTGTGATTGCAACATAATTTGAACATCTTTTAAATATGAAAAATTAGCTATCAATTTTTGGAATTAAATTTACTCATTGCTTTAGTTATAGTGTGAAAGGTTGACTTGAATCACTAACCAGATTATAGTCTAACTGTTCCTTTACGAAATTATACATGTAACTAACACTTCACAAGCTGCCGAAAATAGAGTCTCATCGATTGCGATGGATATCTCACTTTATAAAGACAGCAACAGTGTCAAATACAGATATAATTTCATTGAACGAAGAGGGCTGTTGTGTAGAACAGTGTGATTTGAAAATAATTAGAACATGTTCTCCTTTTGAAAAATTACCTAGCAATTTTCGTAATTAAATTTACTCGTTGCTTTAGTTACAGTGTGAAAGGATGATTTGAATCATTAACCAGATTATAGAATGGAATAGTAATTGGTTTGTGTAGAGTTTAACTGTTCTTTTACGAAATTATAGATGTAGCTAACACTTCACAAGCTGCCGAAAATAGAGTCTCATCGCTTGCGATGGATATCTCACTTTCTAAAGACAGCAACAGTGTCAAATACAGATATAATTTTATTGAACGAACAGGGCTGTTGTATTGAACAGTGTGATTTTACAAGAATTAGAACATCTTCTCCTTTTGAAAAATTAGCTAGCAATATTCGTAATTAAATTTACTCGTTGCATTAGTTACAGTGTAAAAGGTTGATTTGAATCACTAACCAGTTTATAGAATTGAATAGTAAAGGGTTTGTGTAGAGTTTAAATGTTCCTTTACGAAATTATACATGTAGCTAACACTTCACAAGCTGCCGAAAATAGAGTCTCATCGATTGCGATGGATATCTCACTTTCTAAAGACAACAACAGTGTCAAATACAGATATAATTTTATTGAACAAACAGGGCTGTTGTGTTGAACAGTGTGATTTCACAAGAATTAGAATATCTTCTCCTTTTGAAAAATTAGCTAGCAATATTCGTAATTAAATTGACTCGTTGCTTTTGTTACAGTGTGAAAGGTTGAATTGAATCATTATCCAGATTATAGAATGGAATAGTAATTGGTTTGTGTAGAGTTTAACTGTTCTTTTACGAAATTATAGATGTAGCTAACACTTCACGAGCTGCCGAAAATAGAGTCTCATCGCTTGCGATGGATATCTCCCTTTCTAAAGACAGCAACAGTGTAAATACAGATATAATTTCATTGAACGAACAGGGCTATTGTGCTGAACAATGTGATTTTACAAGAAGTAGAACATGTTCTCCTTTTGAAAAATTAGCTAGCAATTTTCGTAATTAAATTTACTCGTTGCTTTAGTTACAGTGTGAATGGATGATTTGAATCATTAACCAGATTATAGAATGGAATAGTAATTGGTTTGTGTAGAGTTTAACTGTTCTTTTACGAAATTACAGATGTAGCTAACACTTCACGAGCTGCCGAAAATAGAGTCTCATCGCTTGCGATGGATATCTCCCTTTCTAAAGACAGCAACAGTGTAAATACAGATATAATTTCATTGAACGAACAGGGCTATTGTGCTGAACAATGTGATTTTACAAGAAGTAGAACATGTTCTCCTTTTGAAAAATTAGCTAGCAATTTTCGTAATTAAATTTACTCGTTGCTTTAGGTACAGTGTGAAAGGTTGATTTGAATCATTAACCAGTTTATAGAATTGAATAGTAAAGGTTTTGTGTACAGTTTAACTGTTCCTTTACGAAATTATACATGTAGCTAACACTTCACAAGCTGCCGAAAATAGAGTCTCATCGATTGCGATGGATATCTCACTTTCTAAAGACAGCAACAGTGTCAAATACAGATATAATTTTATTGAACGAACAGGGCTGTTGTGTTGAAAAGAGTGATTTTACAAGAATTAGAACATCTTCTCCTTTTGAAAAATTAGCTAGCAATTTTCGTAATTAAATTTACTCGTTGCTTTAGTTACAGTGTAAAAGGTTGATTTGAATCACTAACCAGTTTATAGAATTGAATAGTAAAGGGTTTGTGTAGAGTTTAAATGTTCCTTTACGAAATTATACATGTAGCTAACACTTCACAAGCTGCCGAAAATAGAGTCTCATCGCTTGCGATGGATATCTCACTTTCTAAAGACAGCAACAGTGTCAAATACAGATATAATTTTATTGAACGAACAGGGCTGTTGTGTTGAAAAGTGTGATTTTACAAGAATTAGAACATCTTCTCCTTTTGAAAAATTAGCTAGCAATTTTCGTAATTAAATTTACTCGTTGCTTTAGTTACAGTGTAAAAGGTTGATTTGAATCACTAACCAGTTTATAGAATTGAATAGTAAAGGGTTTGTGTAGAGTTTAAATGTTCCTTTACGAAATTATACATGTAGCTAACACTTCACAAGCTGCCGAAAATAGAGTCTCTTCGATTGCGATGGATATCTCCCTTTCTAGAGACAACAACAGTGTCAAATACAGATATAATTTTATTGAACAAACAGGGCTGTTGTGTTGAACAGTGTGATTTCACAAGAATTAGAACATCTTCTCCTTTTGAAAAATTAGCTAGCAATATTCGTAATTAAATTGACTCGTTGCTTTTGTTACAGTGTGAAAGGTTGATTTGAATCATTATCCAGATTATAGAATGGAATAGTAATTGGTTTGTGTAGAGTTTAACTGTTCTTTTACGAAATTACAGATGTAGCTAACACTTCACAAGCTGCCGAAAATAGAGTCTCATCGATTGCGATGGATATCTCACTTTCTAAAGACAGCAACAGTGTCAAATACAGATATAATTTTATTGAACAAACAGGGCTGATGTGTTGAACAGTGTGATTGCAACATAATTTGAACATCTTTTAAATATGAAAAATTAGCTATCAATTTTTGGAATTAAATTTACTCATTGCTTTAGTTATAGTGTGAAAGGTTGACTTGAATCACTAACCAGATTATAGTCTAACTGTTCCTTTACGAAATTATACATGTAACTAACACTTCACAAGCTGCCGAAAATAGAGTCTCATCGATTGCGATGGATATCTCACTTTATAAAGACAGCAACAGTGTCAAATACAGATATAATTTCATTGAACGAAGAGGGCTGTTGTGTAGAACAGTGTGATTTGAAAATAATTAGAACATGTTCTCCTTTTGAAAAATTACCTAGCAATTTTCGTAATTAAATTTACTCGTTGCTTTAGTTACAGTGTGAAAGGATGATTTGAATCATTAACCAGATTATAGAATGGAATAGTAATTGGTTTGTGTAGAGTTTAACTGTTCTTTTACGAAATTATAGATGTAGCTAACACTTCACAAGCTGCCGAAAATAGAGTCTCATCGCTTGCGATGGATATCTCACTTTCTAAAGACAGCAACAGTGTCAAATACAGATATAATTTTATTGAACGAACAGGGCTGTTGTATTGAACAGTGTGATTTTACAAGAATTAGAACATCTTCTCCTTTTGAAAAATTAGCTAGCAATATTCGTAATTAAATTTACTCGTTGCATTAGTTACAGTGTAAAAGGTTGATTTGAATCACTAACCAGTTTATAGAATTGAATAGTAAAGGGTTTGTGTAGAGTTTAAATGTTCCTTTACGAAATTATACATGTAGCTAACACTTCACAAGCTGCCGAAAATAGAGTCTCATCGATTGCGATGGATATCTCACTTTCTAAAGACAACAACAGTGTCAAATACAGATATAATTTTATTGAACAAACAGGGCTGTTGTGTTGAACAGTGTGATTTCACAAGAATTAGAATATCTTCTCCTTTTGAAAAATTAGCTAGCAATATTCGTAATTAAATTGACTCGTTGCTTTTGTTACAGTGTGAAAGGTTGAATTGAATCATTATCCAGATTATAGAATGGAATAGTAATTGGTTTGTGTAGAGTTTAACTGTTCTTTTACGAAATTATAGATGTAGCTAACACTTCACGAGCTGCCGAAAATAGAGTCTCATCGCTTGCGATGGATATCTCCCTTTCTAAAGACAGCAACAGTGTAAATACAGATATAATTTCATTGAACGAACAGGGCTATTGTGCTGAACAATGTGATTTTACAAGAAGTAGAACATGTTCTCCTTTTGAAAAATTAGCTAGCAATTTTCGTAATTAAATTTACTCGTTGCTTTAGTTACAGTGTGAATGGATGATTTGAATCATTAACCAGATTATAGAATGGAATAGTAATTGGTTTGTGTAGAGTTTAACTGTTCTTTTACGAAATTACAGATGTAGCTAACACTTCACAAGCTGCCGAAAATAGAGTCTCATCGGTTGCGATGGATATCTCACTTTCTAAAGACAGCAACAGTGTCAAATACAGATATAATTTTATTGAACGTACAGGGCTGTTGTGTTGAACAGTGTGATTTTACAAGAATTAGAACATCTTCTCCTTTTGAAAAATTAGCTAGCAATTTTCGTAATTAAATTTACTCGTTGCTTTTGTTACAGTGTGTAAGGTTGATTTGAATCATTATCCAGATTATAGAATTGAATAGTAAAGGGTTTGTGTAGAGTTTAAATGTTCCTTTACGAAATTATACATGTAGCTAACACTTCACAAGCTGCCGAAAATAGAGTCTCATCGATTGCGATGGATATCTCCCTTTCTAGAGACAACAACAGTGTCGCAACTTCCAATGATTTTTAATATAATTTTTGAAGAAAATTCAAAATTTTCAAATATTGTTTAAAATCAATTATTTTGGAAAAACAAATTATTTTCCAGTGAAATAAAGTTAATATAACAGAAAAATACAAGTTCTAATAATTTTTATTAATTTTTGAAGAAAATTCAAAATTTTCAAAAATTGTTAAAAATCAATTATTTTTGGAAAAAAAAATAATTTTCCAGTGAAATTGTTCTAATGATTTTTGGTAATTTTTTATTAATTTTTGAAGAAAATTCAAAATTTTCAAAAATTGTTAAACATCAATTATTTTTGAAAAAAAAATTATTTTCCAGTGAAATTGAGTTAATATAACAGAAAAATGCAACTTCTAATGATTTTTGATCATTTTTATTAATTTTTGAAGAAAATTCAAAAATTGTTAAAAATCAATTATTTTTGAAAAGAAAATTATTTTCTAGTAAAAATAAGTAAATAAAACAGAAAAATACAAGTTGTAATAATTTTTGATAATTTTTATTAATTTTTGAAGAAACTTCAAAATTTTCAAAAAAAGTTTAAATTCAATTATTTTTGAAAAGAAAATTGTTTTGGCTGATTTTGTTAAAAGTGTTCGTGTTTCGAGAAAAAAGTATTGTAAAATCAACACGTTCTATTTCACGTTCAGAGTTATAATTAACGCTCTCTTCTTGCCAAAGAATTTCAGATACGTTCGACACTTTTAATGCATAAATCTAAAAACGAAACAAGATAATAACTTCATTGTTAATAAATTTATAAAAAATCTATTTTCTATACGCATATAAGTATACATTAAATAAATTCTGGTTCCTCATAAAACACTGTTTTTAAATATTTAAAACTCAATTTGTTTTAAATTGGGCACGTAAGCTGATTTTAAAACCTATTGAGAAAATTTTTTTATTCATCTTAGAACCATAATCAAAAAGAATTTTTGAGTGCCAATTCAGTTTTATTTAAACCTTCTTCTGGCGCACGGTGACCTCTGTTCAGAGGGCAGAAACAAATATAAATTTACAAGTTGGCACTTGTCCTTGACGCTGTGAGTTTTTACAACTCCTGAAAAGGATCGGTTGAGACTTCCTCACAGTTTTTTAGTTCGTAAACTCCGAAATGCACACACGTCACGTTTGCAAAGTCGTTAAATTGAGAATACACTAATACAACGATTTACAATAAAATTTAATAAATGATTACTTGCTCTAATACCGAACAACGAGTAAACATATATTGTTCGAGATGCAAGAGTTACAGTCGTAATAATTTTAAACTAACCGAAGAGTCAATCTTACGATGGTAATTTCACGGTATGAAACGATCTATGAAATGATTTCGGAGCAAATGACGACTGACAATGCATTTGCATGGGTTTTTATACTAGAAAAATCATCCTCAGTGGGAGTAAATAATTTCAAAGATCACCCCATTTCCAAGCTTGACTCTTAAATCTTTCATAGAATTAAGACAATTCTCAGAATTTAGATGGACACCTGCATCCTGTATTGCTTAGCGCAAGTATCGCTATTACATCGTCTTCAAGCATCTTCCAATAGTACAACACTAGAAAACTGTGCTTGCGTCTCACTAAACGCATACATGAGTCATAAGTCTATTCATTGCTAGAGAGTATTGTGCGTAGTAGTGTCAAATGACATTGGTATGGTTTCTAGGAATTGCCCACCATCAGGCTTTCGATATTCAAGTCAAAGGTTAGCCTATGCTATTTGATACAAGTGAGAAATTGAACATTGCATATAATTTTATACTTTCTGCAGCTGCAAAAACAATTCGTGACGTTTAATAGCAATTCATTTATCATTCTTTGCACTCACACTATAAGGGTAACAATAGTGATTTCGATGGATTTTATTTACGGAAGTAAGTACATTGCATGGCTAGGAAGCTATGTGCATTTTTCTATTACGCGTTTGTAGTGTATAGTGTAATGTGAGTAGTGTGTCATCAGTGATACCTCTGGTGCAGTGATCTTCATTCATATAAAGATGATCTCATCTTCCATCTATGGCCATTGTCGAAAGACTTTATTTTAAGTTGATTCAAGCTTACCGTGTCGGAGACTCTTTCTATATCTTTAAAAAAACATTTAATCATAAGATCTTTGCTAAAATATAAAAAGGATAAAAAGAATTTTTAATATATTTTTTCCGAAAAACATGATAAATAAAAAATAATTTTTTAATATATAAATGTTACTGTTGGTTGAAAATTAAAAAATATTTTTTGAGCAGGAATACAAAAATTCAGTATATCTAACAAGTTGATATACAGATTGCTAAGTTCTTCTATATTTTTACAGTGGAAAGATAGGAGTATTTTACGGATTTAATAATGAAATTAAACAAATAATTTAGCAATTCATTTAAAAATTTTTTATTATTATTATTTTAATTATAATTTTTTTTATCATCCTAATGATTTATATTGACATCATCATTATCATCATCATTATTATTATCATCTTTCTCATCATCAGCATCATTATTATCATCATTCTCATCATCAGCATCATTATTATTATCATCATCATCATCATAATCGTTTTCACTATAATTATCCTCATCCAAATCATCATCATTATCGTAATCCATATTTTCATTTCTATCACTATTATTAGAATTTACTTCCTCTTGCATAACATCACTATAATCATTATCAATATTAATAGAAGTATGATTTCGTAAAGTTTCATCGTGTTTATTATCACTATATGAATTATTATTATTATTTGTTCCAAAAAAAGTGTTACTTTTATTACCAAATTCATCTCCATGTTTATTATTTTTAATGTAAAATTTCTCTTCTATGTTTTTATTTCCTTCCAAAGGTGTCATTGGCCTCCTAGTTACATTGAAATCACTTTTGATATAATTTATGCTTCCTGGATTTATATTTAAACATATTTTATTGTTTACAAGAATTCGATTATTCGAATCTGCTTTATCCAACAATAATTTACAATTTGTTCTATATGAGTCGTTATTTTGCGCGATATTTATCGTGTATTTTTTTCTATCTTTTGATGTTTCATTTTTATAAGTATCATCTTCGTAAATTATGTTTGGCCTAACAGTAACATCACTAACACCTATATCAACATTACTATTGGAAACAATCTCAGCGGATGGTTGTAAATTAATTTCAGAAATTAGATTAGAAGTAGTTTGAGGACTGATTGTTGTTAAGAAAGGAATTGTAAATGTTGGCGAAGAAAAAGTTGAAGTATTAATTTTTTTTTTTTTTTTTGAAGTTTCACTTTCACTAGAGAAAATTTGAAACAAAGCACTAAAACCTAATAAGTCATCATCTTCATCCTCATCACCATCAACATCAGTATCTTCATCATTTGATGGTATAGTTAGGGAAATAGGCTTAACTCCCTGAGCATTTATAATTTCTGCGTTACTATTTTCATTAATATCTTTTCGATCGTCATCATCATCATCATCATCATCATCATCATCATCATCATCATCATCATCATCATCATCATCATCAGCATCAACATCGTCATTGTCATCAATATCGTCGTCGTCATTTTCATAGTTTCCTAAGCCAAAAATATCATCATCATCGTTACTATCGTTAACAACCTCAGTGACTACCATTGGAAGAGGTTCAGCTGGTCGAAGTTTTAAACCATCAGGGCCAAATCTGCAAATAATCGTAAAATTCGAATATAATTCTTAATTGTTAAAAAAACATTTGTTATTTTTGAATACACAAAAATTATTCCTCCTTTAAAATTATTATGTTTTGTAATTTAGAAAAATGTTGTTTAAATTTATTATCTCATTATTTGAATTTAATTTATTTCTCTTATTTTTGAGTTTGGAGGTACAATTAGCCGGCTGATTGATTTTTACTAAAATGAAATAAATCCTCCGTTTATATTGTAAAATTCGAGTTTCCTCCAAAATTTTGTTGCCTGTAATGAATTAAAAGATTTATAGTTTAGGTAGCCAAAAAAAACA